CTGCTGATGGATTTTCCGATGATGGTGCTGCTGAGGTGCATAGAGCGAGATGGAGTGCACTGTTTGATCAGATGGATAAAGCTCTTTCTCAAAAAGAGAAACAGCTAGTAAGTTGCAGAAAAGTTATCATGTTTACTGTTGTTTGAAGGAATGGTACTCAAGTTTTAACGTGAAGAACACAATACTTACTGTCTCTAGTGTTAGTTTGGAAGTCAAGGGTGAAGGAACCTATGCTGTCTAATTTGAACCCAGTTATTCCTTATCGATAATCCCTTGCGAGTAGGAAAGGTGAATAATTTGGTAAAGCCTAGCACCTTAGGTGTTGTTGAAAATAGGTCATTGAGACGGTACACTACTTAATTAAATTTTACCTCTTCAAGTTCATTTACTTCTTCTCAATCTGTTTCCTCTTAAGTAGAATCTTTATGTTTATAAAGAATGGTATTTCTAATCTTTCTGACTTTCCCATTTATATTCCAGGAAATTTGGTTGAACCAAATAAAAGGGATGCAACTGCATTGTGATCAGGGCTTGCAACATATGCATTGGAATGTGCTTTATAGTTTACCACAACTAGGAGGATCAGAAAGTAATATCAGGTTTGAGTATAGTTTTATTCTTATTTTGTTATTATGATGGTCGGTTATGCCTTAGATTTTTATATCTGTTGGAACTTCTCATGACTGATAATTTCTGCATGAAAACAAATGCTTTATTCATCATCCAAGTCTGTAAAATTTTGCTTTTGTGCTAAGGATTTAAAACAGTTTCTTACTTTCATACATCATTCCTGATGTTGACCATTTCCTTCACATATCATTAATACCTTGTTAGGATATACATTACATTTTATAATGTAAATTTAGATGGAGGCTGAAATTTCATTCATGTGACCATACATTTGGTTGGGAAGTTGCAATCTGACATTCAATCTCGCACCCTATACTTGGATCATGTCAACTGCAACCCCCACCAGAAAGACCTTGTATATGTGCTAGTAGCTTAATATAGCTCAAGAATTTAGCTGATATCAACATCTAACTATACCCATCTGCTTGTTCCTGCATTTTGTGTTGACTGGTTGATTGGACTTTTATTGAGATTTTTTTTTTATCTCATCACATTTAGCTCTGGCTGAAGCAGATGTTCACAAATCATTTTACAATGTAGTCATGTTCTCGTGCAGATCGGTGATGGGGGACAGCTTTGACAGGGAATTGGCTAAGGGCTGCTTCCATTTATTCAACGTGCAATTTCATGTTGTCAAAGGAGAGTGTACCCTATTCCCTAATCTGATTAACAGTGGCACCTAATTTAAATTGAATGTTCTTAATGCTACCGTAGAAACATCAATTTGCATTATGCAACTACGCGTTAGGTTTTTGTTAGCGTTGATAAGGGACTTGCTGATTGTGGAAAATTCAAACACTAGAAGTGAGGTCATCTTTTGTCTGTTATTTTCTTTTTTCAATTTCGTTTATAAGCCTTTATCAGCATAGGGGCAGAATTTGATGTTAGAATTGCAATTGTCGCACTGTGAGGTTCCTTAATATCCTTTTGCGTTCAAACATTTTTTGCCATTTTCTTGCACTTGTTCTGTAATTTACAAGGCTTGTACCACAATTTTGGACTCATGAAAAACTATAACAATGGTAGAGAAATATTTTCAAGTTAGGTTAAATATTGAACCGTGGCATACCGGCAACAAAGTATCACTTGCCCCCATTTTATATGAATTGCAGGTCTACAACTAGTTTGGTCCCATCTTGCTTGACATTGGCTTCGAGGATGTATCGTCTGGAACTTGGGGGAACGCGAGCGGATTACGGCAATTTAACACACTAATGCAAATGAAATTGTAATAGCAAGAAGGATCATTTTTTTTAACTTCTGCCTGAAAGATACTTTGACAGAACTCAGGCTGAATATTTGTATAAAATCCAGAAATTATAGAAACATCTTTATTCGTGATTCCCTGGTCTATGGTGTTGTCCACTATGTCCTTACTATAGAAAACAAACAAACATGTAACAACAATACTTCAACGTTTCAAAACAGGCTACTTTCGCAATCTCTATCCAAACTCAAAACCTCAAAAGCATGACTCCAAATAAACGCACCGGAAATTATTCAGGCAATGTCCACCGATAAATCTATCTTGCACCAATAGATAATCAAATGCAAATTGATACATTAGATCTACATAGACTTTAATCTGGGCAGAGGACTATGAGTTGATTTCAAGATTTTGCAACATTAGTAGATGCGTGAGAAAGAGAGACTCGCGGTAAGATTGCAGGATTTTCAAGAAGTAAAAAGACACCTTTATACATTTTCACTCAGTCAATATAGTCCATTATTATGCTCATTAAATTAATATACACTCGATTATCACGTCACCATAAAAGAAGATCGATATCCAGATTTTTTATCACAAAGCGGGCTCGCCCTCGCCTATGAAAAATTCGTCCAGCTACCAACGGCCCATTAAAATATTACTCACAACAAATCAACTTATTTTTAATTTATTATGAATCATTAAATGTAATTCATGTTGGTTATGAATAATTAAATATAGTTTACACTCACCCACATGATCTTTTTTTGAACTTCATATAGATTTACTATTAACGATCAAAAGCTTTGGTCATATCATCAATTTTCTTTTATATAAAAAGTAAAAAGAAGATTCAGGTACGGCAAAAACTCTGAACCCTTCTCTTCTAAGCTTCCTTAACAATTTCTGTAACTCACTTTCTTCCTTAAAAAACCCTATCTACTTAACTAACTTAAGCCTTGAAACGTGTTTTGAATAACCAACTCCAATGTCTCTGACCATGCTTTCCTGCTGCAAGTACAAATCATGCCTCGTACAACTTCCAAATCATCACTCATCCCACCAACCAAAAGCACCATCAACAGACATAAATGTAGAATCCTATATTGCTAACATGTCAATTTATCAATTCTCGTTGGAAGAGGAAAGATGGCGACTAACCATCCATTCAAGCATTGTGTAGTTACAACAGCCTTACGTCCAACAAAGTGCTGTGGTGTCCTCTTGTTCCCCTGTGTCAATCTATCTCCAGTCAGCGAATTTGACTATCTAAAACAAGAATATTATAAGAAAAAAAGAACCAACCAACTCAGCTGCAAGATGAACTTACAGGCTTTATTATTTGATATAAATGACAATGTCAGTTGTTTTTATACAGTATGTTTTGTATTGTTCATGGTTGTCTTTCCTCAGGACAGTTGAAAATGCTAAAATTCTGGGCAAAGCATGACATTGGAGTAACTTTGGGAAGACTGAAGAGCAAGTGCAACTATATATATTGAACAAGAAAAAAGGAAATTGAATGTTGGATTAAGCAAAAACTGGTGGATTGCTTGAATTGAAATGAAATATAGCATGCCTTTTTCTTCTTCTATACTGAAGAATAATCACTGCTGAGACGGTCTAGGCAAGCAGTGCTTCATTGCTGGTTAGTGTCTTGTATAGTTACTCCTTTGCCAGAAGCAATTAAGGAAACCATACAAATGTTGAAAAATCAACACATACATGCAGCATTTACACATAAAATAATAAATTTAAATTAAGAATAAAAATAAAAATATATTTATTTCGATCTAACTCAAAATAATCTACTTCAAATTCAATTCATTAACAAATAAATCTTTACAATTGTGAGACTTTTAGAATAAAAAAATCTTTAAAATTTATTACTCAAAACTTAATCTAAAACTCAATTACACATTTTTAATAGTCTAACTATTCTTTTGATGTCTAACTATATAGGATTACTAAATCAAAATCAAAATATTTATTTATAAGGGTGAAGCTCTTTGTATTTTTATTAAATTTTTAACGTGAGATATAAGACAAATTTAAAATTTTTATAATTTTTAATATAAGATTATGAGATTCAAAGTTAATTTCAATAATAACAAAAGAGATATGTTGGATCAACATTTTTCTGCTCTACTGTTTTTTGTGTAAATATTGACAGACTTGAATGATAATACTGTATGTAGATTCACTTCATTTGGCATTAATCATGTGTTTAAGACTTCAGACCTCATTAGCTAAAGGGATAGTATGGGCCTCAATTGATTGAGAATACAGCAATGAAAGTATGATGTGAGATTTATGTTACATTTTGGCACTCCTCATGTTGTTTATCACACAGTAAAGAGATTTTCAATGAAGTTCGGTGATCCAAATGCAATTTTTTTTTTTTCATTTTAACTTCTCTTGTTTTATTATTTCAGCACTTGTTCATGTTTTTTTTTTAGTTTTAAATTTTTCATGTAAATTTTTCAAATGCCTTTTTTTACAAAATAAAATATTTAATATTTAATTATTTATTAATAAAATTATTATTTGATATAAAAATAATTTATTTTTTAATTACTTATAAAATTTATAAATATTTAATAATTTAAATTTTTCATTACATATAAAATTTAATATAATATATTTAATGATTATTTATCTTCTTATTATAATTTATCTCATTGCTACTATTATATTTGTATTTAAACGTTTATTTATATCACTAATTTTAATTTTATATCAAATTTTATTATTATAATAATTAATTTCATTTTCAATCTCACCATTTATTTAAATAAACTCTTAATAAGTAATATAAAGACATTTTAGTATAATGGATTATTTATCTTATTAAATATATCAAATTATAATTTTTAAACTTAACAAAAGCTAAAATAAACAAGTATACCCATATTCTTGTATAGTTTATGGTATTCGAATTTTCAAACTTAATTACTCAAAAAAGTTTTGGTATTTAAAAATCTCCGATTCTTAATTTAAAAGTCTCAAATATTGTTTTTCAACTCGACAAAAGTTAGAATAAATGGTTGTATCCATATTAGTACGTAGTTTATGATGCTTAAATGGTCAAAACTTAATTATTCTAAAAAAATGTCTTAATGTTTAAAAATCTTAAATTTAAATCTTAAAAAAAAAAAAAAAAACCCTTTCTTAATCTTAAAAGCGCGCTCTCCCTCATTGTCTCTCCCGCAAACTCAATTCCAAAACAGCAAACCCCAAATTCCCCTGAACTTAATATTTTAAAAAAAAACCAACGCCAAAAGGCAACAGATTCTACCCTAAAAGTCACTAATTTCTCTTCACCCTTAACTTTCCATTCATTTTTACTGATTTTCAAGTACCCTTTTCAGCAAAGCCTCTATTTCTTCCAGAGTTTGGAGCTTTTCTTGGTTCTTTCTCAAAAGCGCATGAACTTAGTTCTTGCAAAACTTTGAAATTTGAAATTTGGGTTTTTCGAAGAAGTGGAAGATCAAGCTGATTCTGCCTTCGTTTCTAAAGGCTTGGCATTGATGCCTGGAGCTGATTCCAAGGTTGTCTTTTTATTTATTTTTTCTTCTTCAATTTTTTATTTAAAATTTGTTGTTCATTTTCCTTGGTTTTTTTCAGTTGGTGGGAATGAAGAGGAGCATTGATGATTTAAAAGAAACACATGAAGTTTCACCTAAGCGAATCAAAATGAGAGATCTTGATTCTGTCATCCGCTCTGAGGGTAAATTTTTATTTTTTGGTGGGGAGGGGGTGTAGTTCATTTGAATTATTGGCAAATTAATCATCTTGAAACATTATAAATGATTATTGTTTTGGTAGCCTTGTTTATGGCCTTTTCGCCCCTTTTCTTCTTGAATTTGGAAAAAGAATCAAATTTTATAGTGATATTGAAGAATGAAGGCGTTTTCTGTTTGTTACTATTTTATAATCGTTATGTAACTTACATTTTTTAGAACTTTTTCTTTTTCCTTTCATTTATGCACAGAAATCAATGCCCAAAATTTCAAATCTTTGAAAATAAAAGAATCTAGTCAGCAATTTCAGTTTAGTGGAGAAGGGGTATCTCAAGTTACTGAGGTACCAGTAACATTCAATTTTGATGGTTCTCAAATTGAAAGAGCTAAAGGGGACAAGTTTTTGTCAGCGGTCCATAGTGTCTCTTACCTCTTGATCTTAACATTGAAATTTGCATTGCTATCAACGAATCCTCTGATAACAATCCGAAATGTAAAGAAAAGTTTGACAAACTGTGTTCACAAGAGATTAATTGTGTAACCTCGAAACGCATCAGCTTGGATCTGAATGCAGAAGATGCTACTAGCTCGATAAACCATGAATCAATTCATCACAAACACATCAAAAATTTGAAGCCAAAGGATGCTTCTATGTGTGGAAGTTCTATTGGTCCACTGGAGGAGAAAGAATCGTTGAGAATTTCGAATGAGATGAAGCAGAATGGTTTTCTTTCATCTTCTAATGGGGGATATCTATGCAAAATGCCTTACTGTCATCTTCTCATTGCGGAAAACCAGTGCCCAAGCACCGTGGAAGGAAAAGTAAGAATGATGTGCTCAAGAAGATGGAGCTTGCTAAGAAAGAACAGGTTGACAGGTTCACAAAAATGGCTGCTCCAAGTGGACTTGTCAATGGATTAATCCCTGGGATTATAAATCATGTTAGAAATAGAAAACAGGTCCATTCCATAATAGAGGCCTTAGTGAAGTCTGAAAATTTTGAACATTTGCATTCAGAAAGCAAACAGGCAAGTCATGAAAAAAGTGGAATTGAAGTTGGTGATGGAAATATGGATTTTTCAGGACTACATCGACTCGGTTGTTACCATGAAGATGGGCCTCCAAATGCTTACATCAATGAGCAGAAAAGCAAGATTTTATCTAGCGCCAATGCATAAGCCATATTCATCAATTTCAGAGGGAAGAGGTGGAGATGGTGATTCAAGCATGGTAGATCCAGTCAGTGAGCATGACGCACTAGCATTGAAATTGCCATCATCTAAGGCATCTGAGAATGCTAGCACTTTGTCTAATGAGGAATCAGCAAACTTTATCAGTGCCTCTTCCTTTCTGTAAAAGGTCAATATTTTTTTTAATCTAATTCTTTATTTCAGAACATCCTTGAAAAAAGTGAGAATAATTGGTGATGGCAAATAGATGTTAAAAGATGGTAGTTGAGTGATGGCCCAGAGAGAGCTTATTCTTTTACCCAATGTTTGCTGTTGCATGTACAATAGAATTATCTGGAATCAACTATTTTCTTTTGGTAAAGATGATTCATGTTTTTATGGTGACTTTAATGAAGAAAAGAATGCCCAAACTGATATAAATGACATATTGTGTTTCAGCTGCCACAGTTGCATCTCAATACTTCTTCAGCAAGATATTAAAGGACTTCTTTCGGGTATTTTTCTTTCACTCAAATTGTTATTAGATGCTTAGACTTTAAACTAGGATACGTACTTTTGTATTTTTGTTTGTTTTTTTATGTTCTGCATTTGCAGCACAGTAAGAAGAAAGTGCAAGGTGTAATTACAACAGAGCTATCTTTTCTAATATCAAAAGAATTCCCCTCTAACCAAGGGAATGATCCTGATATTTTAAGAAATTCTGCTGATGGATTTTCCGATGATGGTGCTGCTGAGGTGCATAGAGCGAGATGGAGTGCACTGTTTGATCAGATGGATAAAGCTCTTTCTCAAAAAGAGAAACAGCTAGTAAGTTGCAGAAAAGTTATCATGTTTACTGTTGTTTGAAGGAATGGTACTCAAGTTTTTACGTGAAGAACACAATACTTACTGTCTCTAGTGTTAGTTTGGAAGTCAAGGGTGAAGGAACCTATGCTGTCTAATTTGAACCCAGTTATTCCTTTATTGATAATCCCTTGCGAGTAGGAAAGGTGAATAATTTGGTAAAGCCTAGCACCTTAGGTGTTGTTGAAAATAGGTCATTGAGACGGTACACTACTTAATTGAATTTTACCTCTTCAAGTTCATTTACTTCTTCTCAATCTGTTTCCTCTTAAGTAGAATCTTTATGTTTATAAAGAATGGTATTTCTAATCTTTCTGACTTTCCCATTTATATTCCAGGAAATTTGGTTGAGCCAAATAAAAGGGATGCAACTGCATTGTGATCAGGGCTTGCAACGTATGCATTGGAATGTGCTTTATAGTTTACCACAACTAGGAGGATCAGAAAGTAATATCAGGTTTGAGTATAGTTTTATTCTTATTTTGTTATTATGATGGTCGGTTATGCCTTAGATTTTTATATCTGTTGGAACTTCTCATGACTGATAATTTCTGCATGAAAACAAATGCTTTATTCATCATCCAAGTCTGTAAAATTTTGCTTTTGTGCTAAGGATTTAAAACAGTTTCTTACTTTCATACATCATTCCTGATGTTGACCATTTCCTTCACATATCATTAATACCTTGTTAGGATATACATTACATTTTATAATGTAAATTTAGATGGAGGCTGAAATTTCATTCATGTGACCGTACATTTGGTTGGGAAGTTGCAATCTGACATTCAATCTCGCACCCTATACTTGGATCATGTCAACTGCAACCCCCACCAGAAAGACCTTGTATATGTGCTAGTAGCTTAATATAGCTCAAGAATTTAGCTGATATCAACATCTAACTATACCCATCTGCTTGTTCCTGCATTTTGTGTTGACTGGTTGATTGGAACTTTTATTGAGATTTTTTTTTTATCTCATCACATTTAGCTCTGGCTGAAGCAGATGTTCACAAATCATTTTACAATGTAGTCATGTTCTCGTGCAGATCGGTGATGGGGGACAGCTTTGACAGGGAATTGGCTAAGGGCAGCTGCTGCTTCCATTTATTCAACGTGCAATTTCATGTTGTCAAAGGAGAGTGTACCCTATTCCCTAATCTGATTAACAGTGGCACCTAATTTAAATTGAATGTTCTTAATGCTACCGTAGAAACATCAATTTGCATTATGCAAACTAGTCGTTAGGTTTTGTTAGGTTGATAAGGACTTGCTGAGTTGTGAAATTCCAACACTAGAAGTGAGGTCATCTTTTGTCTGTTATTTTCTTTTTTCAATTTCGTTTATAAGCCTTTATCAGCATAGGGGCAGAATTTGATGTTAGAATTGCAATTGTCGCACTGTGAGGTTCCTTAATATCCTTTTGCGTTCAAACATTTTTTGCCATTTTCTTGCACTTGTTCTGTAATTTACAAGGCTTGTACCACAATTTTGGACTCATGAAAAACTATAACAATGGTAGAGAAATATTTTCAAGTTAGGTTAAATATTGAACCGTGGCATACCGGCAACAAAGTATCACTTGCCCCCATTTTATATGAATTGCAGGTCTACAACTAGTTTGGTCCCATCTTGCTTGACATTGGCTTCGAGGATGTATCGTCTGGAACTTTGGGAACCGAGCGATACTGCAATTTAACACTATGCAAATGGAAATTGTAATAAGCAAGAAGGATCATTTTTTACTTTGCCTTGAAAGATACTTTGACAGACTCAGGCTGAAATATTTTAGTATAATCCAGAAATATAAGAAAACATCTTTATCGTGATTCCCTGTCTATGGTGTTGTCCACTATGTCTTACTATGAACAAACAAACAAACATGTAACACAATCTCAAGTTCTCAAAACAGGATACCTTCCGTCAATCTCTATCCAAACTCCAAACTCAAAAGCATACTCCCAAATAATAGCACCGGAAATATTCAGGCCAATGTCACCTAAACTCTATCTTGCCAACCAATAGATAATCACATGCAAATTGATACATTAGCATCTACATAGACTTTTATCTGGGCAGAGGAATATGAGTTGATTCAAGATTTTGCAAACATTAGTAGAGAGTGAGAAAGAGAGACTCCGGTAAGAATTGCAGGATTTTCAAGAAGTAAAAAGACACCTTTATACCTTTTCACTCAGTCAATATAATCCATTATTATGCTCATTAAATTAATATACACTCGATTATCACGTCATCATAATAGAAGATCGATATCCAGATTTCTTATCACAAAGCGGGCTTGCCCTCACCTATGAAAAACTCGTCCAGCTACCAACGGCCCATTAAAATATTACTCACAACAAATCAACTTATTTTTAATTTATTATGAATCATTAAATGTAATTCATGTTGGTTATGGATAATTAAATACAATTTACACTCACCCACATGATCTTGTTTTGAACTCCATATAGATTTACTATTAACGATCAAAAGCTTTGGTCATATCATCAATTTTATTTTATATAAAAAGTAAAAAGAAGATTCAGGTACGGCAAAAACTCTGAACCCTTCTCCTCTAAGCTTCCTTAACAATTTCTGTAACTCACTTTCTTCCTTAAAAAACCCTATCTACTTAACTAACTTAAGCCTTGAAACGTGTTTTGAATAACCAACTCCAATGTCTCTGACCATGCTTTCCTGCTGCAAGTACAAATCATGCCTCGTACAACTTCCAAATCATCACTCATCCCACCAACCAAAAGCACCATCAACAGACATAAATGTAGAATCCTATATTGCTAACATGTCAATTTATCAATTCTCGTTGGAAGAGGAAAGATGGCGACTAACCATCCATTCAAGCATTGTGTAGTTACAACAGCCTTACGTCCAACAAAGTGCTGTGGTGTCCTCTTGTTCCCCTGTGTCAATCTATCTCCAGTCAGCGAATTTGACTATCTAAAACAAGAATATTATAAGAAAAAAAGAACATGGGATTTCACTAGATATACCTTTATGATAACCCGACCTGTTGGAAACAGAACAGGATCCATTATATTTGAGTCACCATAGCTACTCTTGCCCTATATGAGCAGACAAGTAAAAGAGAGATTTAGGACAAGTTGCCAAGTGTAAAGCATAATAATTAAACACTAAAAAATATTAACAAAATGCAGATAGAATTTTGAAAGTGATTCTTTAGAAAGGTAGTAACACCAAAAGGAGTTATGAAAAAAGAGAAACTTGATCAAATAGATAAGTGGTAGAACTGTAACTCTTCTTCCCGACGAAATGCCTGCCGAGCTGCTCATGAACATCAATAAAAAGAAAACGAATCAATATGTCCATAGAAAAAAATATTTATGCAATAGCTGGCCATGGAAACTTTCTGCATTATCAAAATGTTTAATAGCCCTGCCAATTATAACTTAATAATTTTTCCAAATGTTTGCTCTCCTTCCTCCGAATTATATCAAATACCATCCACATCTATATAGAAAATCACTGCACATCCAGGAATCCTAGGTTTTATTGACAAAACTTTTCATTTAATACATGTAGACAGTGAAAAACATAGAAACCCAAGAAAATAGAAGCATACAATCTAGCAACCTGGGAAATGGTGTAAGGCACACAAAGATGGGGTGCCCAACACCAATATAATACTGATCAATGCATATCATCATTGCATGGAAATAGAAGCAAATTACAATGGTAGTTCACAAAACTATAACCGAGATTCAAAGTTAAAGGGGATAAAGATTTTACTTTGAAACAGAAGAATATTACTTGCAAAGATTTGGAGCCACCGACTGTGTCTACTGGAACTGACTGCGAACAAGTATAGCAAAATTTCTGATAATGCATTGATAACATCACATTAATATTCGGCTAAATGTTAAATTTAGCACTAAATATTTGGGTATTATTCAATTCAAGATTATACATATTATTTTAATCAACTCAAAATTAAACATTATAAATTTATAATAATTTAAAATTTTTTTAGATGAAAAAAAAATTGAAACACATGTACTGTTATCTCGCATAATATAATAAATTGTTGTCGTTAAGGTGATTTTTTATTTGTTTAATAAACACATTTGAAGTGAAAAAATAAAATAACATTAAAAATATAAATTATGCTCAAAATGTTAGTTTTTTTTTCTCATAAAAAACCAAAAATCAGTCACTAATTTACCTACAATATTTTTTTAAGTAGATTATAAATTTTAAATTGATCAACACAGTCAAAGTACAAATAATTCCTTGTGAAAGAATCAAAGGAAGAAAACAAAAAATCATCCAAAAACTTGCAACAAAAGCTTATTGAAATTCAAATTACATTTAAAATATTTTTAAATTTCATTCAAATTTTACGTTCATAAAAAAGATTAATCATCAATTAATAAAAAAACTAATAAAAAAATGACTAAACTGCTTTACTGATGAAATTGGAACAGACCCATCAACAACAAATTGAGGATTGTCGAGTGTTTGCTGGGTCCAAGTAAGGTCAAGTTACGATTGGGTGTTTATACTGGAGCATCAGCTGGTTTTCCCCATCAATCACTGGACTCTAAACTAAACCTCCCCTTCCCCATTTTGAGTTATCACTATAATTCCCACCAGCAAACAACCACCAAAAAAAGCCAACAAATAAAAAACAATCTAAATGAAAAAGAACCAAAACCCATTTCAAAAATCATCTCAAAATTAAATTCATGAGAAGAAAATGAAAGTAGTCTTTTTATTTACTAAAGATGAAATTGGATTTTCAAGATCAGAATTGTAGTAGTTTCAGACAAAATCCTTTATTTTCTTTCAAACCCATCGATTCCTTTCCCCCATTTTCCACACTAAGACCCAAACACAAATTGATCATGTCATTAGTGATTCTTATTTTATGTCATTTTCATGGATGCTATCAGCAACTTAAACTTGATGTCCTCGTCCTTATTTCTAGTTTAATAAAGCAAAATCAAGCTCACTTTACTCAAAACCCAACTATGTTATTGTCACATTCATATGCTTATTTGCAAAAACATCATCTTCTCTCTTTTTCTTTTACAAGCATGCAAGGGGTTCGTAAGATTTAAAAGATTTCAGAGAATGGGGAGAGAGAGAGAAGGTTTAGAAAAAAGATGAAGAAAATGAGAGATGTTTAAAAAAAATTAATTTAACTTTTATTTTTTTATCTGATTTGTTTATCATATTTTATATTTTTGATACATGTTGCCGTTAAAAATTTAACTGCAAATATATTTTGCACTCCTTAAAAAATTTTAAACTATTATAAATCGATAATATTTGATCTTGATTTAGCTAAAATAATACGTTTAATTTTGAATTAAGTAATTGAGCATTTAGGCTTAATATTCTGATACAATCACTGTTAACAAATGGCTGGGGTAAGGCTGACCGAGCAGTTTCATGGCAAATGCTAGTTAAATAATCTGGAAAATACAAGATAAATGTTTGATGATATGATATTTTAATTGGTTTATATTTATTGATTCGATGATTCGATGACATGACATCTTAATTGGTTTATATATTTAATTGTGTTAACGTGAACTAAATTAGTGGATATATATTTTAATTCACATCATATTTTATTTTTTAAAAATATTAATTAATTAATAATTAAAACAAAATACTAAAAAATAAAAACAGAAAAAATATGAAATTATCATTTTTCTTTTTACCATTCTCTTTCTAACTTTTTCTCATTAAAATATCTCTCTTCTCAGGAACTAGCCACCGAATAATTCCAGAAACCCAAATTTCGATAAGCCTGCAGCGTGCCGGCCATTGTTTGTCGCTAGCTACCATCGTTTCGATGATGAAAAAAACTTTTTTTATTACTTTCACTCCTTTCTTAATTTTGATCAAATTAGATTATATGAAAATAATCAAATTATGCCAAAAGTTCTTATACTCTATCAAAATTTAAAATTTAATTTTTATATTGTAATTTATATAAATTTAATCTCATATGATTTTGATTTATAATTTTAATTTAATTATTAATTTTATCAATTTTTTTTTATTAAAAATGTTGATGTGAGCATTAACTTCACGACGTAAGCATTGATTTTACTAACATGATATTGATTTTATTGATGTGATAATTTTGATGAATGAAATTGACTGTAACTTATGTAACTGATTTTTATATTTATAAAAAATTTAAAATTTAAAATTTAATTTTTTTAATATAATTTTATAAAAATGTCATATATGTATAAGTTAAATTTAATAATGTTGGTCTAATTATTAAAAAAATTATTTTTTTTTACTTTTTTAAAAAATCTTTGTTCTCATACAAAATTTAAAATTTAGCCATTTTAGTATAATTTCATAAAAATTTCATTTGTGTATAAGTTAAATTTAATAATGTTGGTCTAGTTACTAAAAAAATCATTTTTTTTTACTTTTTTTAAAAATCACATTTTAAAAAAAAAAATCAATGTTTCAATATTTTAGAATTTTTCCATATTTTTAGAACATAAAATTTAATATTTTTTAAATATTTAATTTTTTAAAAATTGTATTTTTTGAATTTTTTTTAAAATCACATTTTATTTTTTTGAAAAAGTTCAATATTTTGAATATTTTTACAAAATTTTCAAAATTTTGAAAATATTAAATTTACTTTTTTTTTTTCAATATTTTCATTTTGTAAATTATTTTTTTGAAAAATTTCATTTTATGTCTAAAAATATTTAATAATTTTATTAAAATTTTTTAGTTTTATAAATTTTCTATATATTTTTCATTTTTTTGTTTTTTTAAATTTTTTTAAAAATTTTTAATATGTAAACAATTAAATAAATTATTAAGAAAGGTACAAATCTTTAAAATTTATTCTGCTTTGGTATATTTGAAATAGAAGAGTGTAAAAATTTAATGTAAAATAGAGTAATAGCGAAGCATGAAAAACTTATAATTTTGATTTATTCTTCATGAAAAAGCATAAAAGAACGTGTAGAAAATTTTTAAAATTTATACTCTTTTTAAAAACATAAAAAATTAAAAAAACATATAACAATTTTATAAAAAACATAAAGATTAAAAATATAGAAAATTTTATAAGAATGCCAAAGAATTACAAAATAAGAAAGTTAAAT